CAGGGGACACGGGTTCGTGCCCTGGTCCGGGAAGATCCCACATGCCGCGGAGCGGCTGGGCCCGTGGGCCATGGCCGCTGAGCCTGCGCGTCCAGAGCCTTTGCTCCACAACGGAAGAGGCCACAACAATGAGAGGCCCACGTACTGCAAAAAAAAAAAAAAAAAAAAAGCTTGTGAAGGTTAAATGAGTTGATATTTATAAAGCCTTTAGAATAGAGCCTGGCACATAATAAGCAGTAATAGGTATATCTTAGGGATGGAATGTTCCCTGGTTAGGGGACCGCAGGTGAGGCAGTTACTCAGCTCGTTTCCATCCACAGCCAGCCCCAAAGGCTGCAGAATCTCCATCCCTGGACTCGGCCCTTGCATCCCCACTGGATCCTCAAGCCCTGGCCTGCATCCCAGCCTCCCCTCCAGACTCACAGCCTCCAGCTTCTCCCCAAGACTCGGAAGCCCTGGACTGTGAAGTCCCTTCCTCCTCTCTGGCACCCCGGACTCCAGACTCTGCTTTGGCCTCTGAGACCCTCGCCTCTCCCCAGTCCCTGCCTCCATCCTCGCCACTGCAGGAGGACCAGGGAGAGGGGGACCTGGGGAAGGCCATGGAACTGGCAGAGGCCCTGAAGGGGGAGAAAGCAGAAGGGGGAGCCATGCTGGAGCTGGTGGGATCCATTCTTCGGCGCTGTGTCCCTGGAGTGTACCGAGTCCAAACTGTGCCATCTGCCCGACGCCCTGTGGTCAAGTTCTGCCATCGGCCTTCAGGTCTCCACGGTGACGTCTCCCTCAGTAACCGGTACCTTTGTTTGGGGGGTGGCGGGGAAGGCCAGATGGGCACTCTGGGGAGGTTGAGGAGGGTGCCCTGCACCAGCTGAGCCTTTGGTTGTCCTTATTTGGTCCTGTCTGTCTTTCTGATGCTCATCTCATGTCTGGCTTTCATTTCAATGTTTGGAAAGTGTGTTTCTTGGGATACTGTTTTTAAGGATTTAGGAAAGAGTTCCATGGTTGAATAAGTTTTAGCATTGGGAAATGCTGAGTTAAACACAGGCAGGTTTCTCCCTTCCCTCCCTCTCCCCCACTTCCTCTTTCCTCCCTCTCCCTCCCTTCCTATCTTTCTTTGCATAGTAAAGGCTCTGATCAGTCTTACAATAACATGCTCTGTAACTAAGACATTTATAGGATGTAGTGTTTCCCAGACACGTTTGATGTTCTTTTGTACATACTCTCTCCAGACCATGTCAGAAAACTCGGGAAACCCTCTGTTGGCCTTCTTCCAGCTGGCCCCCATTACACAAGCCTGGAATAAGAGCTGGGGGTGATAGGTTCCTGAGCCCTAACACCCTTGTCCCCCCCTCTGTCCCAGGCTGGCCCTGCATAACTCCCGCTTCCTGAGCCTCTGCTCTGAGCTGGATGGGCGAGTACGGCCCCTTGTGTACACTCTGCGCTGCTGGGCTCAGGGTCGAGGGCTGTCAGGTGAGAATGAATCAGGACAGACTTGGGGCTGTGTTCGTGTCGGGGCAGAGGCAGGGACTCAGGGAGAGAAGGAAGGTGGCAGGTACAGGAACCAGGGTTGCAAAAACTGCCAAGGAGGGGATCAGAACCGCCTCTAATCTAACCGGAATTAATTGATTATTTACCCAGGGAGTGGCCCACTTCTCAATAACTACGCCCTGACCTTGCTCGTGATCTATTTCCTTCAGACCAGGGACCCTCCTGTGTTGCCCACTGTGTCCCAGCTCACCCAGAAAGCAGGTACAGTAGCCCGGCCTCCACCCGCTCTGTCTCGTGAGCTTCATCTCTCTTCTTCATCTCACTTAGACATATTGAGCTTCCCTGGGAATGAGATCTCTGCTATCACTCCCATATCCACCCTCCCCCGCCCCCCCTTAATCTTCGTGCTTCCAGGCTCACCCTCACCTTTTTTTACTTTCATAGGTGAGGGCGAACAGGTGGAGGTTGATGGCTGGGACTGTAGTTTTCCCAGGGATGCCTCGAGACTGGAGCCCAGCACCAATAAGGAGCCCCCGAGTGAGTTTGGGGAGCCTGGGAGAGGACTAATAAATGGTGCTAATGACACAGTTACTGGCACACAGCAACCTTGTGGGATAGCTAATATTGTTATTGCTACTTAACAGATGAAGAAACCATGCCTTGGAGTAATTGAGTGGCTTGCCCGAGGCCATGCTGCTGGCGAGGGGAAGGGGCGTATCTGGGAGCGCCACGGGAGAGAGGTGTGACCTCCTGTTTATAGGGATCAGAGGAGCCTGGCCCTGGCACTCTTCTGAGCCACTTGGGAGGGAAAAAGAAAGTCCAGCTAAGGGAATGGCTCTGGCACAGGGCTGATCTCACTTCTGGCCTCCAGGTGACCCCTTTTCCCTGGGTTTTCTGTTCCTCCAGGTTCCCTGCTGGCCCAGTTCTTCTCCTGCGTCTCTTGTTGGGATCTTCGTGGCTCACTGCTGTCCCTGCGGGAGGGTCAGGCACTGCCTGTGGCAGGGGGCCTGCCCTCTAATCTCTGGGAGGGTCTGCGCCTCGGTCCCATGAATCTCCAGGACCCCTTTGACCTGAGTCACAACGTGGCAGCCAACGTGACCAGCCGGGTGGTCGGGCGGTTACAGAACTGCTGCCAGGCGGCAGCCAGTTACTGCCGAAGCCTCCAGTACCAGTGCCGTTCCTCCCGGGGTCGGGACTGGGGGCTGCTTCCCCTTCTGCAGCCCAGCTCCCCTAGCTCCCTGCTGTCTGCAACACCCATCCCCTTACCCCCCGCTCCCTTCACCCAGCTCACTGCTGCCCTGGCCCAGGTGTTACAGGAGGCTTTGGGGTGCCATATAGAACAGGGAACCAAGAGACTGCGGTCAGAGGGAGGTGGGACTGGGGAGCCTTCCCAGGGAGGGACACGCAAAAGATTGAAACTAGACGGACAGAAAAGCTGTGAGGGGGGGCAGGAGGAACAGCAGGGACGTGCAGGGGGCCACAGTGAAGATGGGGTGGAAGAAATGGCGATAGAGGCTGGAGAGTCAGTGCAAGACTGGGCCATGAGGAGCCCTGGGCAGCCAGGGGAGCTGGCCCCGATGACCGGAAAGCATCTAGGCACTGGAGAAGAGGGGCGGTCAGGCCCCGCAGCGCTGGCTGAGCAGGGGCCCAGAGGACCTGAGGCAGCCCAAGAAGGGTCTCAGGCCGAGGCAGGGAAGGGGGCGTTGCTCTCCTCAGTGGGCTGGCGCTGTGCCTTGTGCCACCGAGTGTGGCAGGGGCGGCGGCGTGCCCGAAGACGCTTGCAGCAAATCAAGGAAGGAGGTGGAGCTGGTGCTGGCACAGGGGCAGAGTGGCTGGCAACTGAGGCTCGGGTCACCCGGCAGCTGCGAGGCCTGAGCGGTACTGAACAGACGCCAGGGGCCGAGCCACTCCTGACCTTCGTGGTGTCTGTCTCCCAGGCTGACCAGGCTCTCACTGTGACCCCACTCCGGGATTCTCAAGGCCTGTTCCCTGACCTCCATCATTTCTTACAGGTTTTCCTCCCTCAAGCACTTCGAAACCTGCTCAAGTGAAGATGGGGACCGTAAAGGGCAATAAAGCTGCTAGTTTAATAAACGCTAGTTTCTGCTAATTTCCACCTGGTAATAATCCTCCTTCCCCCCAGTGCTTAATGCAGCCTCTCCCAGGTACCCTCTCTCTCGCCACCCTAAGATAGGTCTCTCAGTATGTTTCCTTCAGAGCCCAGGAGGAGTGTGTGTTTGGCACCTGGACCCACTCAGTAGAGTTCTGGAAAGATGGAGTGCTGGGTGGGTGGCTTGAGCAGCACCTGAGAAGTACCAAGTTTGCTTCCACATTTACCTTACTGCCCAGAGTTGTGAATGGTGACAGGGCTTGAAATTTGGATTCAGGGTTCTTCATTCTCTCACTTAATAGAATTCATCCTGTTCTTAAATTGGGTTCAGATCTGAGCATGGGTAAAGGGCGACCCATCCATTGAATTGTCAGCCCTTCCCGGGTGACAGGACGTGGCTGGGTTCTCCCTCAGCCCCTCCCTTGTTGCAGGCCCGAGGACTAGCTCCTCTCCTAAGCAGTAACAGCATCCTTGAGCTGCAAGGTCGTTTAATGGCAAAAAACCTCTTTTACAGAGGGCTTCGGACTTGGGCTCGGGTTAGGTGTACAAGCTCTCCTCTAGAAAGAGCCGGAACAAAAGGAACGTGGCACCTCGCCACCTCCACGCAGTTGCTTCCGCTCCTATGAGTGTCACACAACCACGATGTTCGGGGGTCTGGCAGGACCTCCAACAAATCACCGCGGGCCCCGCGACCCGGAGGGAAACGCCTCTGGGGCCCGGCGCGATGCCGGGCTGGCAGCTCTGCCACGTAGCTGCAGAGGGCCGGCTTTCCAGCTAGTTCTCACAGTCTCCCCACCCTCCGCGCCTTCTACCTCCATGTCGGGACTCGGATTGGGCCCCCCCCCTCACCGCGCAGGCGCGAGCTTTTTCCGCGCAGGCCCCAGGCCCCACCTCCTGTTTCCTTTTAGCTGCCGTGGGATACCGAACTGTCGTGCGTAAGCCTTCTATGCCGTCCTCGCTTTCCGGCTGCTGTTTCTCCACGGCTCTCCCCTCCCCCCCACCCCCACCGTTCTCTCCCAGACGGCTTACTTTGCGGCAGCGCGGAGGGCCCCACCCCCTTTCTCTGCGGAATCACCATGGCGGCTGGGGTAAGTTTGCCGGCTCTGGCAATCCAGGTCACCCTATCCGACGCCATCCTCTGCCGGAGTGGGTCCAGCCGGCGTCAGAGGGTTTCTGGAGCCGAGTGGGGAACTGATCCGGGGTCTAGAGATCGTACTGTTGGAGAGTAGGGCTTCCAGGCCCCGGAGGGGAACTGAGGCTGGGGCTCTGGGAGGCCAAAGAGGTGGAAGGGTCTGGGGTAGAAGAGAAAAGGGATGCCAGATCCTGGCAGTCTGGGACCTGAGAACGGAGTTCGGTTCGTTGCCTTCTCGAGACGTGGGATCCGGGCAGGTTGACAGAACTTTTGCGACCGTTTTGTGGGGCAACAGGAGGGACAGGGGAAGAGGAGGGTCTTTGTGGGCACGTACGGCGGGCCACGGTTAAGGGTCGTCCTGCGGGGAGGTTTGGCAGCGAGAGGAGTCTCCGGACGCTGGAGTCAGACCAGTTGGACCCCGCTGGCCACGTTAATAGAAGGAGAGAAGGAAACCCCTGGGAACTCACTGCGGGACAGGACCGGAGGGATGGTACGCGTGACAAGGAATGAAAGGTTTTTTAGGGAGACCGAGTTGGCTTAGGAAGAGAAGATGCCATTCGGTCTCTTTGTGGCTGTTCGGAGGGGGACTTGGAAATGTCTTGGTTGGTGTGTGTGTCTTGGAAACAAGGGTGATGCTTTTGAAGGGTGAGCGGCTCAGTAGAGTAAGCAGGCGCTCAGTGACCATCAATGAATGAACAAGGACTCTGGGAAGGGAGGGGTGTGTATTTGTCGGCAGATGGAATCTGAGGGAGCTAGAAGTTGTGCATTTCTTAGAGGTGTATTTGAGGGGAAGAGAACGCTTCCAGAGACGTCCTTACGGAAGGTCACATCTGTCAACAAGCTTTATTTAGCAGTTGGTGTGTAGTTCTGTCCTCGTATTTTGGAGGACTCTGATTACACAAGACTGCAGATACTGAAGAACTAACTTGGTTCACCAAAGGGAGTAAAAGAGTGAGTCGAAACAGATTGGGATTACTCGGGGAAGTTGTTCCCGGGTAACACTTAGGACTGGGACCCTTCTAGTCATTAATGGCTTATTCCCCGCCTTTTCCCCACAGACCCTGTACACATATCCTGAAAACTGGAGGGCCTTCAAGGCCCTCATTGCCGCTCAGTACAGCGGGGCTCAGGTCCGCGTGCTGTCCGCACCACCCCACTTCCATTTTGGCCAAACCAACCGTACCCCCGAGTTTCTCCGTAAATTTCCTGCTGGCAAGGTGAGTAGGGAAGTGGAGAGGGGGCTTTGGTCCTGAGAACCCAAGGAGAACTGAGATTCCATCACTCTGAAGATGACCTCCATCTTTAAAAGGGAGCTTTCCATGTTACTTTTTTTTTTTCCACGCTTCAGAGAGTTAAAAACTTTTATTTTGAGACAGTTGTGATTTATTTGTTGTTAAAAATAGTACAGAGCTGTTCAGTCATTTCCTGTGAAATTCACAGGCTTCTTTTTATTTGTGGGGGAGAGGATCAGTTTTGACTGATTTCAGTGCAAATAGATCAAATGTTTGCTATGAGTAGAATTCTTGCCCCAAGAGGCTTACAGAGATAGATAACCACGCTACATGTAGAAGAGATCAAGTGCAGTGGGGGAGTACTGTAATACTTGGGATAATGTAGACAGAAATATCAGACCCGGGTTTCTTGCCTTTTGCTTATTTGACTGAGATTATATACAAATATCTAATATCTAAAATTTGGGGGTCTCTTATGTGAGTTCAGATTGTAGGGGATGGCAAGTTACTCATACAGTTTTGGTTCTTGAGTTTCAGATAGTGTCAAGAGTTTGGTCAGCAAGGGTTCTCAGCCTTATATAAAAAACTTTATTCAAAACGATTGAGTCCCTGGGCATGACTAGCGAGAAACTGCTGTGTATTTACTTATGACTGCTTTGTCCCCAGGTTCCAGCCTTTGAGGGTGACGATGGATTCTGTGTGTTTGAGAGCAATGCCATTGCCTACTATGGTAATCTGCAGTGGCTGGGGAATGGGAAGGTCTGGAGGTGATGGGGTGCAGGAGAGGGTGAGGGGGGCTGGAGCGGGCAAGGAGAGGAATTTTCAGGGACCTGCACTGGCTTTGACGCAGCCCCAAAGTTCTGACCTTTATGTTCTGCCTCTGCAGTGAGCAACGAGGAGCTGCGGGGAAGTACTCCCGAAGCAGCAGCCCAGGTGGTGCAGTGGGTGAGCTTTGCTGATAGCGACATAGTTCCCCCAGCCAGTACCTGGGTGTTCCCCACCTTGGGCATCATGCACCACAGCAAGCAGGTGAGCCTTGGAACTTGGGGAGAAACCAAGAGCAGGGGTGGCGTCAGCTCCTCAGTATCAGGGAGGAAGAAATAAAAAAGATTGAGGAAGGGTGATGCCAAGAATATGTGGATAATAAATACCTAATCTTTGAGCTTTCAGTTGGGAGCGCTGGGCTGTTGATGGTATATGGATTCTTTGTCAGACAGACCCAGTGGAGGTGGGAGGTCTGAGTGGCCAGAGGAGAGGCCTCTGCTCTAGAAAGATTGTACCAAATGGTAAGGGAGTGGTTAGACCAGATGACCTCTAAGGTTCTTTCTAAAATTCAAAGATATATGCCTACGATCAATGCAGTGGGAAATGAAGCCAGACTGCGCCATGAAGAAATTTAACGTTGAGAGCTTCATTTGCGATACATTTGGAAGGAGCCAGGACTCAGTGGAATAGCTACCTTAGTTCTATTATTGGGGGAGAAGGGCAGGGACGAGGGTTGGTACCCACTGCCGAGTCTGATCATTTTAAATCAATAGGCCACAGAGAATGCAAAGGAGGAGGTGAGACGAATCCTCGGGCTGCTGGATGCTCACCTGAAGACGAGGACTTTTCTGGTGGGCGAACGTGTGACGCTGGCTGACATCACACTTGTCTGCACCCTGTTGTGGCTTTATAAACAGGTGAAGTTTGTAAAGAATCTGGGTTGACAGAGGGTAGGTGGGGATTAGAAACAGAGTGACAGGCTTGCCAGGTTATCTGTATCCTGCTGATGTGAGGGAGTCTGAGGCAACAGCTAGTCTTTAGGAATTCCAGGGTTGAGTACCACTGTTAACGGAAAACTGGGCGCCGCTCCGCGGCATGTGGGATCTTCCTGGACTGGGCCACGAACCCATGTCCCCTGCATCGGCAGGCGGACTCTCAACCACTGCGCCACCAGGGAAGCCCTGGTTTGTTTTTTTTTTTTGCTACGTCATGCAGCATGCAGGATCTTAGTTCCCCGACTAGGGATCGAACTCGTGCCCCCTGCAGTGGAAGTGCGGAGTCCTAACCACCCGACCACCAGGGAATTCCCAGTTTCTGCATTCTTTTGTTCCCTTAAGATCATTAATTACAAAGACCTGTTCAAGGACAAGTATTACAGGCAGGTTCAGATCACAAAATGGCTTAGGCCAAAAATGGCTTCTCTTATGTCAAGAAAGTGCCTGGTTCTCTTTTTCCACAGACCCTCTACCCTGTCTTCTCACACCACGACTGCTTTCCCTCCTGAGAAGTTTGATCCTGTTCTGTTGCCCTTAATTTCTGTTTGGCAGCTAGTACGTTTAGTTTGTTCCCGTGTTTCTCAGGTTGCCCAGTCGTGCTTAGTTGTGAAGACAGAGGTAGAGGTGATAGCTTCAGCATCAAGATCTTTGGAGGCAGAACTAGGATCAGTTCTTGGCTTCAGTACTTACGGGTTGTTGGGGGGAGGGTGTGTGTGGATTCATTTAGTCCTCTTTTCCCCCCCTGTGGAAGCCATAAAACCAAGGTAGGAATAATCACTGTTGAGGTTATTGGGTTAAAGATGGCATATTGCTGGTTCCTAAACAGCAGCTCTTGGACTGTTGCTGGACCAGAATAGTAATGTGATAACAGCAAAGAAAAAAGCACCTACTACGTGTAAGGGCCTGTGCCAGGGCATAACAAGGACAACCTTAGTGAGTCTTTGCTTGTTGTGTGGGTGAAAGAAATGTAGCCTGGAAGTTGTGGAGTAGGATTTGAACCCAAGTACTGCAGAATCAGCACTACAGAGCTGACTGCGATGTATCTTTGACAGGATTATTTTCCCTCTGATCTTGGCAAACCGAAAAAATGGTAGATGAATTTTTCATGAAGCTAAGTTTAAGCACCCTGTTACCCTGAAATAAACGTTTTTGCTGTTGACTGTTTACTTTCTGAAGTTTGATGATGCATGTATATATCTCTCACATATCACATAGTTCACATAGAGAGTTTTCATTATTTGCTTGGCAAAGTGAATAGTTCGTAGTTCTCTGTTGGTCCCCAGCCTTTTAAGTTCTATTGACACGTGAAATGGCTTTGTAAAAGGAGTAAGGCACAATATAAATATTCCTACCGGGTAGATTCGCAGTGAATAGAGGGTGGGACGAAGCATCCATTAAGTTGGATTGGACTGCAGGAGAGAGATTAGTAAAGTAAGTGGGCAGTAGCCCTCCAGGGAAAGCTGGTGTTCTGGGGGCTGAAAGGAAGCTGGAGCTTTGGTGTGGAAAGAAACAAGGGGCTCTGACTGGAAACTCATCAGGATTTTTCCCTCCGCTGAGTTTATGTCCACTCTTGCATCCTGGCAGGTTCTGGAGCCTTCTTTCCGCCAGGCCTTCCCTAATACAAACCGCTGGTTCCTCACCTGCATTAACCAGCCCCAGTTCCGGGCGGTCTTGGGGGAGGTGAAACTCTGTGAGAAAATGGCCCAATTTGATGGTAAGTCTGAGGAGGTAGGGGAGCGTGCCGGCATGGTCAGGGGACTGGTTTGCTCAGTCTTAACCCATTGACTTCCTGTCTAGCTTTTGGGTTTTGTGGACCCACAGAACGTAGGGCATCGCACGTAGCAGCTAGTATTTTGTGATAGTTGTCTTCTGCACACATGCTCCCGCTCATTTGTGTTAATGTGTAGAATCATGATGCACGTGTATGTGTTGCTGAGGGTTGCATTCTTGCTCAGGATGTACTGTGAGGTGGCGGCGGTGTAGCATCAGATCCCTTAGCTCCCGCCCAGCAGCTTTCCTCCGTTACTTTGCTTGTGCCTGGCTTGGGAGGGTTGTGGAAAGAGACCAGACGTTGACTTTTCTCCTTCCGTTTGCACCAGCTAAAAAGTTTGCAGAGAGCCAGCCTAAAAAGGACACCCCACGGAAAGAGAAAGCTACTCGAGAAGAGAAGCAGAAGCCCCAGGCCGAGCGGAAAGAGGAGAAGAAGGCAGCTGCCCCTGCTCCCGAGGAGGAGCTGGATGAATGTGAGCAGGCGCTGGCTGCTGAGCCGAAGGCCAAGGATCCCTTTGCTCACCTGCCCAAGAGGTATGGATGGTGGAGGGTAGGGGGCATGGGGCCCAGGAGGGCCTGTGCTCACCTCTGTGCATCCCCCTCATACTGCTAGGGCCTAGGATTTTAGGTTGTCCATACAAAATTGAAAGATGTATTTTAGTTGCAAATAAAGCAGCTTCCAGACTTTACCGTCAAGAGTTGGGTGACTTTTGAAAGTAGAAAACAAGTTCCTAATGCATCTGGTATTTGAGGATATCAGAACTCCCTTTCTAGCAAAGAAAGCACATGGGCCCAGGGCCCAGAATCCGGTGTGGAGGTGAATTGATTGGTCTTGCGTGCGCACGTTAGGATTTGAGATTGAGAACGCTCGGAACTAATACACTGAGGGGCGCAGGAAGGAAGAAAATGCAGAGAGCCTCCATCTGCCCTGCTCTGCTGGCTTTGCTGAGGCAGTGGACACCATGTCAGTGTCCTCTGATTGTCTTTTTGCTGTTCTGATGCATCAGCCTATATAAAAATTGCTCACTTTAAGAGAAAGGATGATGACCATGGCTACGTAGTGTCTGTCTGGTTTATTGTTTCCCAGCGTGGGGGAGTTAAACCCCACAAGGAGAAGGACGTATATGGGGTGGTCGTCTGTGTCCTCTTCTCAGTCACCATAGGGGTTCCTGGAAGAAGGAATACAGTAAAGGGGGGATTTTTAGTGTGAAAAAAGTGGGACAGCCAGTACTTGCCCAGTTGTTTACCATCAAATCTTTCTTCAGTCACTGCTCCGGGTCATCTTATTAGAATTTCAAGCAATATGAGAAATGTCTTTTCCATGGTCACGTCACTTAGTTCGCTTTTCTGTTTTTCTTGCCCATTCTGCCTTTCCTAAAGCCATCTATCCTTTCACTAGTTGGTTTGTTGGGGTGCAACAGTGTTTGACCTCCCCATTTTGTAGTGGTTTGTATTTGCGATGAAGGAGCACGCACTGGTGGTAGGCATGAGAAAAGAAGTATGTGGAGTTGTAAGCGACCTAGTACTGGATGGTTACCATTAGGAACCGCTGCTTCCCCATTTGGGGAGCAACTTGGGGTGTAGCTGAGAGCTCTTACTCCCAGGCACTTCATACAAGGCGGCTCCTAACGCAGCTGCTTTTTAAGGATATATTCCTTTCTGAATCTAGCACAGGGGCAGGTCAGGAGTGAGCAGGATTTTTGGTATCTGTAAGTAAGCTATGATAACCAACCCAAATTATGTACACCCTTGTAACATATGTACTGCTAATAGCTAGAGATACTCGGGTCTGTACACTGGGCAGAAAATAAATCAGGCAGTAAACTTAAAATCTTTAATAAACTTAGCATTTTTTAAAAAAATAATTTTTTAAATTTTTTGGCCACGTTGGGTCTTCGTTGCTGCTCACGGGCTTTCTCTAGTTGCAGCAAGCGGGGGCTACTCTTGTTGCAGTGCGCGGGCTTCTCATTGCGGTGGCTTCTCTTGTTGCAGAGCACAGGCTCTAGGCGCGTGGGTTTCAGTAGTTGTCGCACGCAGGCTCAGTAGTTGTGACTCACGGGCTTAGTTGCTCCGCGGCATGTGGTATCTTCCTGGACCAGGGCTTGAACCCGTGACCCCTGCATTGGCAGGTGGATTCTTTTTTTTTTTTAACAGTTTTATTGAAGTATAATTTCCATTATGAAGTATAATTTCCATTACGAAGTATAATTTTCCATATAAAATTCAGTCGTTAAGGCTTCCCTGGTGGCGCAGTGGTTGAGAGTCCACCTGCCGATGCAGGGGACACGAGTTCGTGCCCCGGCCGGGAGGATCCCACATGCCGCGGAGCAGCTGGGCCCATGAGCCATGGCCGCTGAGACTGTGCGTCCGGAGCCTGTGCTCCGCAACAGGAGAGGCCACAACAGAGGCCCGCGTACCGCAAAGGAAAAAAAATAAAATAAAATTCCGTCATTATAAGTATATAGTTCAGTGCCTTTAACTAAATTTATAGATCTGTGTAACCACAAAAATTAAATTTTAAAACATTTCCAACACTACAAAAGTTCACTGGCAGGCGGATTTTTAACCACTGCGCCACCAGGGAAGCCCCAGCACTTTTTTTGTTTTCTTTCGTATCATTTGGGAGTGCTTATTAGTACTTATTCGTTACATTACCATGGTGTACTCCTGGGCTGCCAAGATGATTTTCCCCAGGATTCTTAATGACTCAAAAGTGATGTCTTCAAAGACAAGACTCATTTGTCCAGAGTTAATTTTAGTCCTTTTAAGACCTTCCAGCTACCCTAACCCTGTGGTCATTTGTTTGGTTTTTTTAAAATTTTATTTATTTTTTTATACAGCAGGTTCTTATTAGTTATCCATTTTATACATATATCAATCCCAGTCTTCCAACTGTGGTCAGTTTGGGGAGAAAAATGGACACATGGTCATAAATAATAAAGTTCAAACAGCTCAGGAGAGAGTGAAGAAAAACTCCCCAGCCCTAATTTTTTTTTTTTTTTTTTTTTACTGAATTTGTTACAATATTGCTTCTGTTTTATGTTTTGGTTTTTTGGCCCTGAGGTATGTGGGATCTTAGCTCCCCAACCAGGGATCGAACCCACACCCCCTGCATTGGAAGGTGAGGTCTTAACCACTGGACCACCAGGGAAGTCCCCCCCAGCCCTACTTTTTGGGTGGTTGAGGAAGTAAAGCACCTCAGATGAGGTCTCTGATGTGCATTTGGGAAGGAACCTGGGACCTCGGGTTAAAGGACAGATTCTCTGCTTTGCTATATTGCAGCAGTGAGCAAGTCACACCACTTAACCTTATTGGTAAAGGGAGGGATGGTAACATTCTCTGACTCTAGGGTTTGTTGACATTAATTATATACTAATGAATAATTGAACCAATTAAACATTCAGTATAAGGGGGTTTAATAGATTTATGGCACATTCATGCAGAAGATTATTTAGCCATTAAAACATCTGCAAAACATTCTTGATAGCCAGGCAGTATTAAGTAAGCAAATTGTGTAAGGCACAGAATTACATGCATCATCTTTGGAAAATTGCTAGTGGGAAGTACATTAAAATATTAGTTATCTTGTTTGCTGGCATAGTGAGTGATTTTCTTCAGTCAGTATGTGTTTTTATAATTGGAAGGAAAGAAAAAAAAACCAGAAGCCCTACCATGGGGGGAGGCACCTCTCCTCTTCTGAAGCTGGCATCCTTGGCTCGGTGTGCCAGATTGCTTCAAAGATCACCTGAACTTGTTTCTGAGCAGAGTAACTAAAGGACACGGGTGTAGGATTTGGGGTGGAGGCCCTTTGCAAACATTCACTTACATTGCCATCATATTATAGTGTGTATAACCTGAAGAGGCCTGTGTGATGGGGAGGGGTGGGGGCAGCGACTTGGGTGAGTCAGGAACTTGAGGGTGACTCTTGGATAAGACCCCGGGGAGGGGCCGGCCAGGGGAAAAAAAAAAAAAAAAAGGAGTCCTCGCTGTGAGTCTCCACCAGGGGGCAGCAGCTCGCCGTGTCTTTCTTCGGGCAGATCCTGGGCCCCACCCTCCACGTGCCAAGCATATTTAGGCTGGGGGTGGGGGGATACGGGAATGCCCTGGGCGCCTTTCATACCCCCCAGCTCTCCCTTGGAAGGTGATACACGTCTGCCAATCCAGTGACCCTACCTTTAAAGCAGTATGTTTGAGTGGAAATGCCCTTAGTTTCTCTTAGCATGGCAACGTTGCCACAGTAGGACCTTCTCCACCTTGATCTCCTTGCTTTTTTTCCTTCATTCAGTACCTTTGTGTTGGATGAATTTAAGCGCAAGTACTCCAACGAGGACACACTCTCCGTGGCGCTGCCGTACTTTTGGGAGCACTTTGATAAAGATGGCTGGTCCCTGTGGTACTCCGAGTACCGCTTCCCTGAAGAGCTCACCCAGACCTTCATGAGCTGCAACCTCATCACTGGTGAGCAGAGGGTAGCTCTGGGAAGAGGAAGGGAGGAGACAAGGTAGTGGGTGACATGATTTCAAAGGCTGAATGTTCTTCCTTGCCCTTCAGGAATGTTCCAGCGATTGGACAAACTGAGGAAGAATGCCTTTGCCAGTGTCATTCTGTTTGGAACCAACAATAGCAGCTCCATTTCCGGAGTCTGGGTCTTCCGAGGCCAGGAGCTTGCCTTTCCGGTGAGGAAGGTGCAGGGGAGGGGTCTTGTCTCTTTAGGGCGGGGCGAGGGTTTGGGAAGTGCACTCGTATTCCTGAGCCGTTGGGCATTCCGGAGAGTTCAGAGTTCAAGGAATGTGTCCACGAAGGAGCTGTCATGTTCGCAGGAGTCCTGGGGTCTGATGACGGGTGTCTGAGCTGGAAATAGCAGGTGTGGGGCAGCGGCCAATAGCCTGACCACATGCTTCTACCTGGCTTTTCCTCCCCAGCTGAGTCCAGATTGGCAGGTGGACTATGAGTCATACACATGGCGGAAACTGGATCCCAGCAGCGAGGAGACCCAGACGCTGGTTCGAGAATACTTTTCCTGGGATGGGGCCTTCCAGCATGTGGGCAAAGCCTTCAATCAGGGCAAGATCTTCAAGTGAAAATCTCCTGCCATCACCTAGCTGCCCGCACCTGCCCTTCAGGGAGAATGGGGGTCATTAAAGGAAACTGAACATCGAACCCTCTCCTGCCCTGCCTCCTTTGTGGGTGATGGCTTCTTCAAAGGGGAGTAGATATGTTGAAGCAGGGTGTTGTGTATACCTGCAGGACCTCCCTGTGTAGGAGAGAAGTGTTCAGAAGAGCAGAAAGAGAGGCCTCTCCTCAGTTTTGATTTTTTTTTTTTTAATTGCCTTGCCTCTCCTGTGATGACCATCTTCTAGCCTAGCTGGGAGAGACTGGATGTAGTTAGGAGGTGGTGACACGGGGCTTTTGCAACTACCTAACTGGAGACCTTCCCGCGTGAAGGGGGAGAATACCTGCCGATGGGGTGAGAGCACAGCATGCAGAGCGACTTACCACTACTTCCCGCAACTGCCCTGTGAGGTGGGGCAGCAGCCGTATCCCAAGAGTCAATAGTTTCAACACTTCAGACAAACAGCGAGAAGAGACTCCTTGGAACAGATACTGGCCTGTGGCCCCTAACCTGGCTGCGGATCATCTCTGGGGTATCCCTACTTTCTAACAAGGAAGTGGGGTTCAGAGATTTAAGCAACTTGCCTGTGATCACACATTTTAGGTGGTGGAGACAGGATTTTGAACCCAGTGGGTGTCCCTGGAGCCTGTACCCTAAAAACGCCCTAGCGCTTCCTGCAATGTAGAGCAGTCATAAATGTCTTTTAACAACCCTGCTCAGACCAGTGGTTGCTATTTTTTCTCCTTTGAGCTTAATTTTTTGTTATACCCTTTTCAGGGATAACTTGCCCCTACTCTGATTGTCTTTTCTGTGTCTTCTGAAGAGCATTAAGGATCTCTCTGTAAATTTAACAGCTCAGGTGAAGTCAGAAACCTGGTTTGATTCACATTTTGAGGCTTTGGTCTCCAGGTTGTGGTTTTCTGAGTGGTTATTTTTTCCCATCCCTTAAGTCCAAGCACAAAGCAAGGGCAGGGGGTCTTGGCTTGGGAGGGGAAGAAGGTAATCTTTACTGGTACAGGTGGGGGCTGCTAGCTTTTGAGGGAGTAGGGCTGTAATCTCACTGGTACCTTAACTGCAGTTGGGGTTCTGTGAACAAATGGGCAGGGGAGAGTGGTGGTTTGGAATCCAGTTGGGTGAGGATGGGTTGATTCTTGCTCAGAATTTGCACCTTGGTAGTTGTGAGTTGGTTCCAGACTTGCCACCTGTCTTGCTTCTGAGCATTCTGGGCTCCTGGAGGATAGGAGCTAGAAGTGCTAGGTGCTGGCCAGGGTGTGCCCTGAGCTGGTTGCCTGCGCCTCACAGAACCAGTCAGACTCCCCTTCCGGGTTCCATTTCCCTCCACACCCTCTGCTCCTTGGCTTGTGTAATTTTCACGACCTTCCTGGTATCCTTAAGGACCTGAAGATGGAGGCAGGAGAGATTGAGCTGTGCAAGTAGGTTTGCAGGGTTAGGCCCGAGAGGCCTGGGGAAAAGGGGGCGGCTTGGGCAGCGGCGGGCCTGGCAGCCCACGTGCATGGGGGGCGGTTCTGGCCTGTGGGGGGGGGGGCTGGACCGCCTCCTAGCCTCCCTCAGACTGCAGGAAGAGTGACTCATCCACACGTCCTTCTTCTTGTGCCTGTAGCTCTGGCGGTTGGTGCCGAGGAGTGTGGCCAGGTTGGTTGAGGCCAGGCCTGCGCTTGGGGGAGGGCCAGGACCCACAAGCAGGAGGTGGGGTGGGAGGCCCAGAGGAGAGGGGGTTGTGTGGCCTCAGGAAGGTTTGCTGTTGGCCTCCAAAGGGTGGGGGGGCCTCTACCCTGCCGGGGTGGGCAGGAAAGAGATTAATATCAGGAGATTCTAGGGCAGATGTGGGGCGGGGAAAGGGGGAGTACAGCTGTAGTTAGGTCGGTCCCCGCCCTGCCCCGGGGAGCCCTGAGTCACCACCGCACCGCCTGAGGACTCGGGATCTCTCCAGGATCCCACCGGGTGCCCGCCCCGCCCTCCGTGCTGCGCTAGAGCCCCGCCCCCCGCTCCTCCCAGTGCGGGGTGGGGGCGCTCTCGGCCCCGCCCGGCTCGCTAGCCACAGCCAGTGAGCCTGCGCCGTGGGGACGTCTCCCGTGGTGGGGTCGTTTTCCAGACGTGCCGGGGAGGCTCACCGTGCAGCTGGCGTCCCCGCGCCCACGGTGCTGCTCAGGCCGGCAGGGGCTGGGGTCGCGGGGCGGAAAGGGAAGGGGCTGCTGCGAGTGGGTGGAGAGCTGAGGACAGGGCAGGATCTTGGAGAAATGGGATAGGATGGGGGGAGGAGGAGGCTATTTCACCCACTTACGGAGCAAAATCTCAGAGCCTCCAGAAAGGGAGGGTGAGAAACTGGAGAGGGGGCCGGGGCTCAGACGTGCGTTTGACTGCAGATACAATCTACAGTGGCTGGAGTGTGAATGGGAGGCTGAGACTTGGTTTAGCTCGTAGATAAACCAGTTATAAACTGGTTATAAGCGGCTGTTTATTTTAGCTTTGTTGGCGTTTCTGCTTAAGTCACTTATTAAAAAGTCAAAAGCCTTTAAAGTTCTTCCAAGAAACACCTAGGTTGTCTTTTCTTCACGTCCTGGTTGGAGCTGGACATCTGCTGCTCACACTGGGTCAGTCCCATCCATCCCACCAGCTGCCCACATGCCCCAAATGTGCCACTTCCCCTTTTGAAGGGTGGGGGAAGGGTCTAGAATGTTGAAGGGAGAGGAGTGAAGCGCTTTGAAGACTCCACCCAGTCATTTCTGAAATTAATACCGTGATTTTCATGGCAACCTTTCATGGCATGTCCTCAGAACCCGAACTTTCCCTCCACACATCAGGTGGGTGTTCCTGGGTGACTGTGGCTTACCCGGCTCACCCCATCAGTGGTACCTGCAGGACACTGTAACTTCCCCAACTTGCTTTGGTCCTCTATGTTTTTTGGTTTTTAGGTTTTTAAAATAAATTTATTTATTTTTGGCTGCATTGGGTCTTCGCTGCTGTGCGCAGGCTTACTCTAGTTGCGGCAAGGGGGGCTACTCTTTGTTGCGGTGCGCGTGCCTCTCATTGCAGTGGCTTCTCGTTGCGAAGCACGGGCTCTAGGTGCGTGGGCTTCAGTAGCTGTGGCGAATGGGCTCAGTAGTTGTGGCTCGTGGGCTCTAGAGCGCAGGCTCAGGAGTTGTGGCGCACGGGCTTCGTTGCTCCGCGGCATGTGGGATCTTCCCGGACCAGGGCTGGAACCCGTGTCCCCTGCATTGGCAGGCGGATTCTTAACCACTGTACCAGCAGGGAAGTCCCCTCTCTGTATGTTTGAATGTAATTCTGGGGCACCCACCTTATTTATTCTTCCCCTAATGCTATGGAGCTAAAATATTGGTGCTCCAGAAAGGTTAAGAGAAACTGTGCCACCTGCTCTTGTCTGTTTGCTCTAATCAGGCTGGCATGGCTCCCAGAGAAGGCTGTTGTTTTACTCCAGTGGAATGACTGGGGTGTCCCAGTGCCTCAGCACGCAAGGGGTGGGTGGAGTGGGGGTAATGGCGGTTGCTGGGGAGTAGCTCTGTATTCATTTGAATCTCTTGTAAGAGAGAGAATGCCTTGGGCAGGTGGGGCTGGTTCAGTGGCAAAGGTATCCTTGGTGACCCTGGATCTCTACGTGTTCCTGGATTTTTTTCATTCTTGTAGCCCTCTCCCCTCATGTGGCCGCCCCCTTTTGTTTTGCTGATTTCCTCAGGATTCCAAGGGGAGCCTGTTGACCTTACTTTGTTTTACACGATGGGCAGGCCTTGCGCTGAGCGGGAGCTGGATGGTCATTAAGGGTTTGGGGCTATTTCTGATCAGATCTCCCATGGAATGTGCCTCCCTCTACTTCCAGCTGCCCCCTCCCCTCCGCAGCAGGAACAGCTGTCATGTGAGGGCCTCTCCCGCTGGCTCAGCCCTTTTGCAATCGTTTGGCTGGCTCTGCCTGGATGGGGGTGGATAGTGAGGATGGGCAGAGCCAAGGGGTAAACGAGGGGACACGGCAGGGCAGGGGAGCCATTGGAGGGTAGGGAGGGCTACGGATTTGAGGGCAGAGGGGTTGCCAAGGCCAGGCAGGAGGAGTGGAAGCTAGACCAGGGAGGTTAGGGTGCTCATCGAAAGACGTGGGGCCCACACTGGGATCGGAAGCTTTCTAGGTGTAAGGGAGAGTTGGTTATAGCGGGACCCTGGCCAGTCATTCTCCAGGGAGATCTGCATTTCCCCTGATTCACAGGAGAGCCACGGGGTGCTTTCCTGCCCATTGGCCTGTATTCAGGACCTGAGTCACCGAGTTGCCTAGAGTGTTGGCTGTCCTATAGTGGCGGTTCCTGTGCCCGTACCCCATCCACTCCTACTGTTAGGACAGGGGTTAGCAAACACGCCCCTTTTATCCCGCTGTCTTCAATAGCAACTTTCCATCTCTTTGACTCAGTCTTACAGAATGTACCTCGGGGAGACCACAGCAAATAGTCCCTTTCTTTTACCCAAGAGAAAACTAGAGCCCAGAGAGGGGAAGTGACTCATCAAGGGTGCATGCTTCTCTTTCCACAGTTTTTGCAGCCGCTCACCGAGTCACTTTTGCTCCTAAGAAGAGCAGGAGGACGCGTCCCTCAAAAGCTATGGACAGGGGCTTCCCTGGTGGCGCAGTGGTTAAGAATCTGCCTGCCAGTGCAGGGGACACGGGTTCGATCCCTGGTCTGGGAAGATCCCACATGTCACAAGCGACTAAGCTCGTGCGCCACAACTCCTGAGCCTGCGCTCTAGAGCCCATGAGCCACAACTACTGAGCCCGTGCGCCACAACTACTGAAGCCTGTGCTCCTAGAGCCCATGTTCCACAACAAGAGAAGCCCACACACCGCACCAGAGTAGCTCCCGCTCGCCGCAACTATAGAAAGCCCGCGGGCAGCAACGAAGACCCAATGCAGCCAAAAAGTAAATACAATTTAAAAAATTAAAAAAAAAAAAAGCTGTGGACAAAGTACAGTAGTTTTGGAAGCGAGGAGAGGGTTGTATCTAAGGCTGCCAGCAGCCCGAGTAGGCAGCCCTGACCCGGGAAAGGATTATGGAAGTGGAGCAGGTCCTGGGGCAGGGGCAGGCCCAGCAATCCAAGTCCCGGGGCGGGCAGAGGGCACAGGGTGTAGCAGAGGCGGGACTTCGAGTGACAGGAACCTCAACTATGTGGTGACTCAGGCTCTGGGCAGCCTAGGCCCTTCCTTCCCTGCTCAGCCTGCTTCTCCTTAAACTAGACTTGAGAAGTATGGGCACAGGAGGGAGAGAAACCCTGGGCTGGTCTTCCCTTCCCTGGGGAACTGAGGGAAAAGCAGAGGAATTTGGAAAGGACGGCAGAAAGGCAGATCCCAAAAAAGGAGAGAGGAGGCTGGTGTTCCCCTCTCCCAGCCCCTCCCTCCCTGCTGCCCGCTCCCTGCTGCGGAGGGGAGCTGCCTGGGGCGTTGGCTGCTCTGTCCATTCCAGCTCCCTCCCTCGGCTCCTGTTTACAAGTCCATCCGCCCAGTCCCTGGCTCAGCTCTGGGCTCTTTTTTTCTCTCTCTCCCTCCCTCCCTGTACAGCCTCATTCAGTCCTGTTTTGCCACTTCTTTTCCTTAATCTTGGGTCTCCATTTCCCATTATCTTTCTGCTCCCCCAGCATCCCGGCACCCACAGCTCAGGTGCCTCTCGGCCATCTCTCTCTGCCGCTGGGGATCCAGCTGTCTTGATG